CATGACCCACCCTGCCTCCGAAGGTGTGAGTCCTCGCAGAGGGTATGGGTTGGGCAGTGCGCATGCAACGTGATGGCTCTTCAGTCTGGTACCGGCCGGTAGTCGTGTGTCCCAGGGTTCTTTGCAGGCAGCAGGGGTGTGTTGCTTGGGGACTGGCATCGCTTTAAAAGACCCACCTGAGCAGCTGGTCTAGGACTAGACTCTCTGTGAATCTGGGTCCCTAGACTGCTTCCCGGGGAACCACGTGCTGGCGTATTTGACAGGCTGGGCCAGGCTTCAGGTCACTCAGGATGGGGCGTGGTTCTTGGTCAGACCCGGGGAGTTTCCTCGCTGGCGGTTGGACACTCGTTTTTCCAGCGTCCAGATTCCTTGCAGTAGGCACATTGGTCCCGTCCTAGGGGTGTTTTTCTTCTTGGTCCTGTAGTTCCTCGTTGTTCGTTTCAGTCCCACCGGGGGAGCTGGTCACCCCAAGGCTGCCGCTCGGAGGGCCACCTTCTGTCCCATTCTTCGGTCTGTCTGCTTTTTGGCAGCCTGTTCTTGGTTTATAGAGACTTTATTGGTGATTTCCAGTAATTCGGTGGCATTCTCCCAGCAAATCCTGCTGACTTTTGAAGCTTTCGTCTGGTGTTGGCCTGTGCCTGTCCTCAGAGGCAGCAGTGACCACGCGCTGGTTTTCGGGGGCCTCTGGGTCAAATGGAGCGTAGACGCTGAAGGCCTCGCGCGGTCTCCCACAGAAGTCAGCCGGACTCTCATCTGGGTCTGTGAGTCCTCAGAGGGCTTTGCCATGTGTGCGGGTCTCTTGGCCCCTGCTTTCACCCCTTGGAGGAAGGGGAGTCGATATCTTTCCAGCCGGTTTCTTCCTTCCTCTGTGTTTGGGCCCCAGTGGGGTTCCTCATCAGGTAGGGCCTCTCGGGCCCAGGCTTCTGTGTCGAGATGTCCAGCTGGCGCCTGGGTCTGGAGCCACTTTCTGGCTTTTGTGACAACCACCAGTGCTCTCTGTGTTGAATAGGGTGAGAGTTGTTTACAGTCACCCCGGTGGGCGACGCGTCTGGAAGGCGGATTCCAGGAGGTCGTCGTCACTCGGGGTTTTTCGGAGTGTGGTGGCCTATGGCGTTTCCAGTCCAGGAGGTCGGTAGTGGAGAAGGGCTGATAGCAGAAGACTGATCCCCTCACTTGTAGGGTTCCGTCAAGGCCCATTCTCGGTGGACCCCTTGTCTCCCACAGTGGCAATTGCTGCTGGGGTTGTGACCCCTGGGTCGCTGACCTGAGATGTCTTCCCACTGGCTCTGGCGACCCTGGCTCCGGTGTGCCTGGCTCCGGTGGTACATTGGCTGGTGGTGGGGGTGGGCTGTCGGGCAGGTGAGGCTCCCCATCTGCAGGTAGCGGGGTGTATGGCAGCGGCAGTGGAGGGGCCTCTTCCAAAGCCCCTGATAATACAGGAGGCTGTTTAATTCACCGTGAAGTCTCCCTTTCACCTGTGCCACCCCTTGCACCTCCCTGACTAGCAACACAGAATCGGACCCAAGGGGGCCTGATCTGGGCTATTTCCAACCACTGGTCTATGTAGGAAATTGGTCGGATGGCCAGCGTCTCCAGTGACTACTTATTCACAGCCTGGGCTGGGGGACATCAAGGTGCCTTCAGAGGGCCATCCCACACCAAAGGTGGGCCGTTCTAATTCACAGAGGGTGCAAAATGTTCCGGTGGACCCCATAATCTTCTGAGAACCCCTTTTCAAAATTCTTAATCATACATTCCAGAACAGTGGGTTTAGAGAAACCTCCCCCCATAATGATATCTAAGATAGTTAAGCAAACCGCCCAGTGATCGGTATCATGAGACAAACAGGAGGAAACTCTCGTTTTGTCCACCTGGACCTCCCCTTGCGGGCCTTAGGCACCTCTTGGCATTGGCAGGTCAGTATAAGCCCCTGACTCAGATCGGGTTCACTGGCAGAGACAATGTCCCCAAGAACCTGATACTGCCCTTAGCCATATGAGGTCACCATGGGCTCGCAGGTTGGGACTCACACAGACTTCGTAATAGGCGCTGTGGAGCACGGCCACTCACACACAAAATCACACGGAATTTAAACTTTCCACCCAGGAATTCCCTATCCTGTGTGACACCTGTGCTGCCTGGGAGGTGACCAAGGTCCCCTTCTGCCTTAGAGGCAGGCCTGAACTCAGTCCTGGGTCCCTGGTCCGATGTCCTGGCAGGCTCTTCTATCCTCCCCAGAGTCCGTTCGAGTGCAGCGGTGGCCGACCACAGTCGGGCCTGGTGAGGGTTGGGGTCCAGTGAATTCACTGTGGGTGTGCCTTCCTTTCCATCACGGGGGCCCACAATTAGTGGCTCCTTCCCGCTGGCTTCTGACAGAGGTGGCTTAAGACGCACAGCCGTCCGCTTCCTGGCAATGCACCAAAATGTTGTGGCAGAAATTCGGTCGGCGGGAAGAGACAGACTGCACGCACTCGGAGGATTAGAAAAATGACTTTAATGCGCACCGGTGCTGGCCCAATGGAGTCACCTCCAAAGGCTGAGCCCTGCGCCCAGGTTCCATCGCCTTTTATACATGATAAGCTTCCGGGTATTTGGGGGCTTCTAGTTCCGCCGTGGTTTAGGTGGTTGGCTGATGTAACGGGCAAGTGGGATTACGGAGGCCAGGTGTGGGGGTCTCTGCTCTGTGAGCTAAGGGGGTTGTCTGCACCCAGCTTGCCTTCTCATTGAGAATATCAGTCGGTTGCTTCCCATACATTCCCTGACCAGGGATCGAACCCACAACATGGTCTATGCCCTGACTGGGAATTTAACCCTGGACCCTTCGGTGCGTGGGATGATGCTCCTGCCAACTGAGCCGGACCAGCCAGGGCTGTACAAATTTTATTTGATGTTAATTTTTATGTGCATGGAGGCCTTCCTAGAAAAGAGGTGAAGACCCCAGGGAGTGGATAGACCAGGTGCTTACATACTATTTTAACAAATGAACATAAATCATGGAAAAATGACAATCAAGGGAAAAGGGACTTGTAGGGGCAGTAAATTGTGGGATGTGAATATAAGGTGAAAGGTAGAAGATGAAGGTTATTTCAGCAAGGTCTGTTTGTGCAGACCCCCTCGGAGCCGACGTGCTGTCTCAGTCTTAGGGTTGTTCTCCTTCCGGTACGGCAGGGGGGCAGGAGACCCCTCCGGAAACAGGAGTGCATGTCCTGCTTTCGGCAGATAAGAGGGCAAAGAGTTTGGTCTGCGTTGGCCGCTTCTTATTGCCTGCAGCTCAAAACCATCCTGTTGTGAAAGTGGCATATTTGGGGATGGCCTACGATCAGTGATCACACAGGATCGTACAGATCCCCTTCAGTGAACACTATGAATAATGGGCGTTAACAGTACCTGAGGTTCTCTCTCCCCTCTGGATAGTCCGGGCAGCCTTAACGGTCAGGGAGCCTGAGCACGCTCACTCCGAGGCCGAGCAGTTGGGGCCGGGAGCCCAGTGGGCTGACGTGGCCTTGAAGGGGAGTGTGTGGGAGGCAGGTTCACTGGGGCAGCTGCAGAGGAGACCAAAGGGCAAGGCCACAGGGGCCAAGAGAAGGGGTGGAAACAGCGGCCTGCTCCCCCAACTCCCCAACCCAAGCTGCAGAGCAGAACCCTCGAGACAGAAGAGCAAAGGCTCGTCTGTGGTCCGGGGAGACCGGCCGGGGACAAAGGGCAGCACCTTCGGTGGTGCAGCCAGGAGGGAATGCGGAGGCCCAGCCGGGAGAAGGGTGCGAGGCAGGTGTGACATGAGAAGAGAGCCAGTCCTGCGACGCCAGGGAGCCGGAGCCGACTCCAGTCCGGGGACAGGCCTCTTCTCCTCTGGGGTGATGTTCCCCTCGGCTGCCCTCTGCCTGTCTGCCTCTTCTCCCTGGACCCCAGCTCCGGCCCACTGTAGAGCTCCTGTTCCCAGGGGTTAGCAGACCACCCGGGACTGGCCGGTTTGCTTGCAGAGCAGTCTCCCCATTTCCTGCTTCATAAACCCCGCTCCCCCCTTCAGGACCACTCCAAGGCCATTCCCCAGGAATGCTTCTCTGATCCCATCTACCTAAAGGAACCCCCTTTTCCTCTGAGGCCCCTGTGCCTCTAACACTTCATTTTCCCTGCGTTGTATGAGAAACATGGGGAGAGTCTGTCCCTTCACTAAACTGAAAATTCCTTGAGGCCAGGCCTCCAGTCTTACTAGTGGTGTCTGTCCGTCCCAATGTCTAGCCCAATCCCTAAAATACTGTAGGTGCTTAATTAAATGTTCATGGGGATACATTAGACTCCTATGTACTATTTCTTTACATCTTCCCTCACCCTACAGCCTCCATAGAAACATCCACATCTTGTCCTGACCCACAGCTGCCGATGCAAACTAGCTCTCCGAGTGGGGTGAGACCTGCCCAGGGACAGGGGTGCTAGGGAGCTGCCCGGAAGAGCCCCAGCCCCACGCAGCGTCTCTGACAGCAGCTTGAAGTGACTCCACCTGCCCGTGGCCCTTTTGATAGGCCCCGCCCACCCCTCCCACATCGTGCTGCTCCCGCCCCTGCGTCTCTTCCCTTTGCGTCACCTACTGTCTGTCTGTTGCTGGCTCTTCTAACATGTCACTCCTGGTGTCCCCAGTGGCCACCTGAGGGTGGGAGAGGGAGGTCAAGTGGGTCCTTGGACCACTCTTTCTGCCTGTGACCTCACCCCAGCTGACCTAGTCTTCATTCGTTACATAAAAACTTACTTAGCACCTGCCATGTGCCCGGCCCTGTTCTAGGTGGGAAACCGAGCAATCGACAAGGTAGGCAGATCTCCCCGTCTCAGGCATCAAACACATCATCCCAGCGGGAGCTGGGACTTCTGACGAATGCCAGAGACCATCAGGGACATTAATCAAATCAATTACAAAGTTCGACCTGGGTTTAGACGTTCTTGGGGATGGGAATGAAGTTTGGCTCCACTCATACCTGGTGTCTGTTGGGACCATGTTCCTCCCCAAGGTGTATGAGCTGAACGGGACGGTCCACAGCCAAGAGTGGGCAGTGAGGACCTACACAGAAGTGGCTTGTATGTTCAGGAAGAAGCATCCTGGGTTTATTGGAATCAAACTCATTTATTCGGATCGCAGGTGAGAGAGAACATGGCTGAAACTGCAGGAGCTGGGAGAGAGGGTGTGGGCAGGGCCCTGCGGTTGGGTAGGGAGACGGGGCCACAGACCCCTCAAAGCCAGTGTCCTGGGCTGGCGTGTGCACTTATGTGTGAATGCAAAAATCTCTTGCTGAGATCCCTGCTCGTTTGTCTTTGTCATCTGCCTGGGTGACTCGGCCGGGGTACAGTATTTTTGCCTCAATGTTTGGATAACTGGCCCATTTCTTTGTTTTAATTTGACACCGGGTTTCTGCCTAAAGTCCACCTTGTGATGTGTGTGGCTGTGTATGAGGCCTTGATTGGTGGCCGGGCCCGAGTGACAGCTGTCTCAGCGCCTGCGTGTGGCCTGGTGGTGTGAAGGAGGACCCACTCTCTCCCTAAGCAAGTGCAGAGAGCCTTATAACTTAATTTTTTTTCTAAGTTTACTAAAGTGAGAGCTCTCCCCTCTTGCAAGGGCGGTCAGTCTAAGGCCTGTGACCTGCCCGGGACGGGAGACACAGGCAGGGCCAGGTGGGGGTCACACCCACCAGGTATGGGGTGGGGGGCTGTGGAGGGCAGTCAGACCTCCCAGGAGCCTCCTCCCCTGCCTGGCCGCCCTGATCCCATCCCCTCCTTGTGAGGGCCTGGGCCCCGGAGCTGAGGCCTGCACTGTGTGCTGGCCAGCCAGGAGGGGGCTTGCAGACGGGCCCCTGGTTCTGCTCAGAGGCTGCCTGGGGCCAGCAGCAGGAGGTGTTAGGGCTGGCTGCAGTGTTCCCGCAGGGGTGGAGCGCCAGGCCGTCCCTCTCCGTGCTCCGTGGGCGCTGCTTGCGCCCCGGGCTGGACTCGAAGGGGCGGGTGCGGAGGGAGGGGAGAGCTGGGTAGTGGTCTCTGGGGTGCCCGGGCCTTGCTGACTCCACCAGCAGGACAGGCCTGCAGTTGCCCGGTGCAGCTGGCCTGACAGGGACTTGGCGACCTGTGGCGTTGCACAGGTGTCCAGTGGACGCAGAGCTGGCCTGTGTGCTGCACCCACTTGCAGAACCCACCCTCTTAGGGACGCAGGACAAGTTTCGGACAAGGCCACTTTGCTTTATCCAAACGTAGACCAATGAAACTTGTTTTATGGGTCCCCTTACCTCACCTGCTCTTTAGACACAGTGGGTCCCTCTGCAGCCAGCCACAGTCCTCGACAGGGATGGATTTGGGAGAAATATCTCTCAGCTGTACTGAGATCACAACAGCCCAGTTGGGGCGGGTCATGGGGCAATGGCACTGAGGGGCTGGGAGATGGTGCCACAAACCCCAGACTGGACCAGCCTGGGCCAGCAGCTGGGGCTCACAGCTCTCAGGGCCACGTCATGCTGTCTCATGTTTCTCTTTGTCTTTCACAGATTCCAAAATGTGTCTGTCATCACAAAATCGGTCCAAAGAGCCATGATGCTTCAAACCAAGTTCCCCAGGATGGTGGCAGGGTTTGACCTGGTAACTGTCTGCACAGCAGGGCAGCTCTTTGTGACGGGCTCAGGCCTGCTCAGAGTTCTGCCCCACCGCTCTAGGGGCCTGCGGGGGGTGGCAGTCACCAGAGACGGGAGAGCAGAAAAGGCCAGCCTGCTAAAAAGGGGAGTTCCAGAATCAGGAAGAGTCCAGGGAGCTGGGACAAAGCTGACGGAAGGCTTGTTCCCATTCCCCTGCCTTCTGCCCTTGTTCCCAGCCCACTCTGCTCACTGTCATTTGCTCCTCGAACCACTTAAGACCGTGTCACAAGCAGAGCAACATTGTTTGGCACTGCGTATCCATAGAGGTGACACCGCCCCTCTCTCCACCAAATCGAAGCCCTAGCCCCGTGCTCACAGCCAGGCCACACGGTCCCTGGCCCACTCGTCAGTCTCATCAAACCTGATAGATGGGGACTAATGGCCCAGAGGCACTCTGACACCCTCTGAAGACAATTTACCCGAGACTTTGCTAAGTGCTGGCTCAGCCCAGCCAGAGCCCCAAGAAGCAGATTTCAAGGAGTTGGCTTTTTTGGATCCAAGATGTCTTCCTGGGATCCCTGGGGGTGGCTCAAAGGCTCTGCTCCCCAGAAAAGGGGCCGAAGCCCCTCCCATCTCAGCCTTACCTCTGTGTGCAGCACCGACAGAGGGACCTGTGCAGGAGAGCTTCCGATTCGGAGCTTCTGGAAGTGTCTGTACAGGACTGGAATGGACAAGCCCTCGTGGGAAACCAGGGGCACAGGGCGGATAGACAGTTGTTGTTCAAGGGGTCCACACTGAATGTCCATATTTGTTTTATTATAAAAATGTGTCATTGCCCCCTTACAAATTAAAATTGGCCTTCTGAAGGAGGTACCCTTTTTACCCTAAGACACTCTCACTACCAGCAAGTAGCTAAGAAGCCCCAGGACATATGTGGCCTAATTGAAAAGCATGATTTTGGGATAATTGCTCTTCCCATTAGTTACAGCTGAGTAGCCAAGTTACTGAGGGACTCTGCCGAGAAACTGATCCCCCCGGGGACCCGCCGGGGATGAGTGGCCCCGCTGCACCCTGGGTCCTGGTCCAGCGCATCTCGGGCCCACTCTCTGTTTCGGGCATTCTCAGCCTCTCTCTCTCTCTCTGTCTCTCTCACTCTCTTGTTTTCTGTCTCTCTATGTCTCTGTTCTCTGTCTCTCGGCTCTCTCTCTGTCACTGTTCCTTCCCCCGCAGGAGCTCAGGGCTGAAGCATGAAAGGTGGTGTGAGAGACAAGGGAAGGGCTCGGAGCCTACAAGCTACAGCCTCTGACTAAGAGGGAGTTACGTTGGGACAAGAATGCACTGTCTGTTCTGTCCTACTTTTGCTATAGATTGTTGTTCTTTTTTAAAAATTGATTTTAGAGAGAGGGGAAGGGAAAGAGAGAGAAAAACATTGTTTTGTCATTCCACCTATTTGTGCATTCTTTCATCGGTTGCTTCTTCTGTGTGCCCTGACTAGGGATCGAACTGGAACCTTGGCGTATCAGATGATGCTCTAACCAAATGAGCTACCTGGCCAGGGCCTGCTACTCGCCTTTTTAAAAAAAGTTCTATCCCTCTTTATATATAGATACATATACATATATATTTTTTAAATTTTTCTCCTTTTTTCTTTATTGGTTTTAGAAAAAGAGGAAGAGAGAGATAGAAATATTGATGCGAGAGAACATTGATTAGCCACCTCCTGCATGCCCCACGTTGGGAATTGGGCCCACAACCTGGGAATGTGCCCTGACCAGGAATCGAACTAATGACCTCTTGGTGCATGGGTCGACGCTCAACCACTGAGCCACACTGGCTGGGCTACTGGTCATTCTTTTTTTTTTTTTATCCTCACCCGACGACATTTTTCCATTTTTTGTTCAGGTAGAGTGGGAGGGAGAGAGAGAGAGAAACATCAATGTGAAAGGGACACATCGAGTGGCTGCCTCCTGCACAACCCCAACTTGGGGCAGGGACAAACTGCAACCGTGGTACACGCCCTTAGCGGGAACCGAACCCAGGTCTTTCTGGACCGCAGGCCGACGCTCTAACCGCTGAGCCACACTGGCTGGGCATACTGGTCATTCTTTTTTTTTTTTTTTTAATCCTCACCAGAGGACATTTTTCCATTTTTTGTTCAGGTAGGGTCGGAGGGAGAGAGAGGAACAGAAGGAGAGAGAGAAACATCGATGCGAAAGGAACACATCGAGTGGCTGCCACCCGCACGACCGACCAGGGCCGGGGACAAACTGCAACCGAGGTACATGCCCTTAGCGGGAACTGAACCCGGGTCTCTCAGGACCGCAGGCCGACGCTCTAACCGCTGAGCCAAACCGGCCAGGGCTACTGGTCATTCTTAAAAGGCTTGGTGGCTGAAGCCTCAAGCAGCAGTGGCAGAGTACAAGGAAGGGTGCTCACAGCTGTGGGGCTCCGTCAGCATAGTGAGGCGTGGACCGAGCAGGCAGCTCCATGTCCCTCTGCTCTGTCCTGCAGGTGGGGCGTGAGGACACTGGCCATTGCTTGTACTACTACAAGGAGGCCTTGATGATTCCAGCCTTGCAAGGCTTTAAACTGCCTTACTTCTTCCACGCCGGAGAGACAGGTGAGCCGCGGCAGGTCGGGCACAGAGGAGTGGATGCGTGGGAGGGCTCCTTGTCGCTCGAGTACTGACGGGATACTGGGGCGGGATGTTAGAGTCGATGGTTGTTTTCTGGCGCCTGTCCATTTTACGTGCATCATCTCATTTCATCCTGACAGCAGGATTAAATCCCCGGAGAAGGGATAACAGAGCTAATAACAGTATCAGGCACTTTACATATATTATTTCAGATTCTCACCACAGTCCTGCTAGGAGGTGTGTCCTTACTTTATAGATAAAAGAGCTCCAGGCTCCAAACATAGTATAACTGGTCCAATGGTAAGTAGTGGAGTGTGAATTTGAGCCCTTCATGATGATTTCCATTTGATAGTGTGTGGATCGTGCCTGAGAGGTGAACTCACCTTTCCAAATCTACACACTGTGTGACAGAAAGGGATTAGAACCAGGCCTGCCCTGGCATCTAGGAGGCTCTGTCCACACTCACCAGTGCTGAAGAGGCGATGCCGCACTGTGCGTGGTCTCTGCTATTGCGTCTGAAATACCATCAGCTCAGCATGTCCTTTCTCCCTAGAGCTGCGTTCCAGAGCGTGGCCATCTCTCAGCCCTGCCACATTCCAATTCTTAAAATGTATAAATGCTAACCAAAAGGAGTTCCAGATCACAGCTGCAATTTCAGATCAAAATGAAGATTTTTCGGACTTAGACCCGGAAAAGATTGCTGCTGGCCACCCTCCCCTGACTTTCTTGAGTACCTTAGGCACCTGCCGCCCTCAGAGGACCAAAGGGATGAGGAGAGAGTAATGGGGAACTTAAATTTCACAACCAAGCTCATGTCTTCATTTATCATAGCAACTCTCAGAGGAAGGCTCTGATGCATTTGTATCCTTTTTCTTGACATTTCAAGTCAATTTAGATAAAAGCTATCCTAAGAGATTAAAGAATTGTTTGTGGGTAAGTGTGCAGGGGTTGTTAACCTTGAAGAGTTTGTGGTCTAGTTGGGAAGCTCATACCTGTGTGAAGTCATTCAATAGAATGAAACACTATAACTCAGGAGCCAACCCAATTCTAAATTCATGGTCCTAGAAGATTTTGCCAGGATTTGGATATTCAATATCCAAAAGTAATGTCTTTTTTTTTTTAAAGAACTATTTGAAAAGAAATTACCAGATAGGAAACCAGTACTATCTAGCTATCTATCTAAAAACACATGGCCTAATCAGCAATGGGATTTTCTTTTTATTCCTAACAGCAAAGTGCACTTTTCCTGTTTTCTGTGTGGACCAGCTAGGATGCTTTTGGCCGCCAGCAATGGAACACACAGCCGCAGGGTTTGTGGTGGGTCCTCTGTTGTCTCACAGAACAGGCAACCTCTGTGTTCTGAGTCCGGAATCCCACCTTGCTTAGGTACAGGGTCCTGAAGTCAACGCAGGGCTGAGTGAAACAAAAGTGAGCCCTTTCTGTCAGGGCCTCCTTTCCCTTTATTAGGGAGGAGGCCTCTGCCTGTCAGGCCGGGGTCAGGACTACTGGCGGCAAGAGAAGGGGAGAGGCGGGGCCTACCTGTCAGCCTCTGCAGGGGGCCTGCCCCGGGAAGGGGCCGGGGGACGGCAGCCAGTGGCCTCTGCCACTGGCGCTGGTCACTGCAGTCCTGCCATTGACACTGTCCCACGAGTACTGTTAAAAGATCAATCGAAGTAAGTATATACAAATAATTATATTGATACAGTCTGCAACACACTGTTGTAAAGATTATAAACATAAAATTCCCAGAAAATAGCTCTGGAAACAAACAAAAAATGGAAAGAAAGAATATGGACTGTGGGGTCAGATCGACCAGAGTTTGAAAACCGGTTCTGATACGTACGAGCTGAGTATCCTTGCTCAGTTTATAAAGCCCATGTAAGTTTCAATTGCCTCATCTATTATATACATTCATTCATACATACACATGTACACACACACACACACACACACACACACCAAAGGCTTGCCATAACTCTCTTGAACATTGTTATAAATAAAATGTGTGTGCATTTGTTTGAATGTTCATTTATCTTCCTTTTCTTCTTTTGGGGGGCAGGTCTGGAGCCTTTTTTAAAAAACTCATCTTTATTGTTGAATGCATTACAGATGTCCCCCCTTTTATTTCCCCATTGACCCCCTCCTCCCCAGTCCCGCCCTGCTCCTGCCTTCCCCACACTATTGTCAGTGTCCATTGGTTATGCACATATGCATACAAGTCCTTTGGTTTATCTCATCCCGCGCTCCCTTCCCCCTTCCCTTTGAGGTTCATCAGTCTAACAACCAATTTGTACTTCTTAATTCCTTCAGTTTTTCCACCCATTCCCCCACCCTCCACCCATCTGGCAAGCAACAAAAAGTTCTCTGTTTCTATGAGTCTGTTTCTGTTCTGCTTGTTCATTTTGTTTGTAGATTCAATTGTTGATAGATATGTATTTGTTGCCATTTTATTCATATTTTTGTTCTTCTCCTTCAAGAAGACCCTTCAACATTTCATATAATACTGGTTTGGTGGTGATGAGCTCCATTAGCTTTTTCTTATCTGGGAAAGTCTTGATATGTCCATTGATTCTAAATGATAGTTTTGCAGGATAGAGTAATCTTGGTTGTAGGTCACTACTTTTCATCACCTTGAATATCTCTTGCCACTCCTTTCTGGCCTGCAAAGTTTTTTTTTGAGAAATCAGCTGACAGTCTTATGGGAACTCCCTTGTAGGTAACTAACTGCTTTTCGTTTGCTGCTTTTAAGATTCCCTCTTTGTCTTTAACTTTTGCATTTTGATGATGATGTGTCTTGGTGTGGGCCTCTTGGGGTTCATCTTGTTTGAGACTCTCTGTGCTTCCTGGACTTGTATGTCTGTTTCCTTCACCAAATTAAGAAAGTTTTCTGTCATTATTGTTTCAAACAGGTTTTCAATTTCTTGTTCTCTCTCTTCTTCTCCTGGAACCCCTATCTGTTGGCACGTTTTAAGTTGTTGAGGATGATCTTTAGGTCAAGTCCATCCTGTTGAAGATTACCTCTTTATCCCCAGACTGGCAGGGTACTTCCATAGACAGAAACCTTCTGGATGCCCTAATACTGAACTCTACCAGGGTTGGCCATGGATTTGCTTTGACAAAACACCCAGCAGTCTGGATTGACTCATGGAAGAAGGACATCCCTATAGAAGTCTGTCCCATCTCCAACCAGGTATGCATGATACATGGCCCCTATCCCACATGATCTCTCCCCCAGCCTCAATCTCTGCTCTGCTTCCAAAACTTATTCCTGTATTTCTCTCTCCTTAACTCACTTGTTTTCTATATTCCTCTTCTCCTTTTCACTCCCATTTAGTCAAGTTATTTAGAAATGGCCTTTGCCTAAACCATTCATAATTACGAGGCAGCAGTGAGGGTCCCCAGTGGGGTAGAATGCTGGGCAAAGCTGAGAACAAAGCTAAGAGACACTGGGGGAGGCCATCGAAGTGGCTAGAGCCACAGGTGCTGCTGCTTTCAGTTACTTGGTTCTTTGTGAGTCTGCTGCCGCTTTGTTCAGGAACGCTGCTCTGAGCAGAACCAAGAGAGGCCAAATGCTTGTGGTGGGAATAAAACTTGAAGAAAATTTGGAAGCACGTGGGGACTGGCTCTGTTCCTTGCAGTAGAGCTTTGCCCAGAGGTCATCCCAATGTTTAGAATAGGGATGGGGTTAGGACAGAAAGGAAGAAGCTGATTAGGCTTCACGGTCTTCCCTTCCTTGTCGTGACTCGTCATGGATCAGACTTTGTCTTTCCCCCTCACCTCCTGTGGGCAGGTTCTGAAACTGGTGTCTGACTTGAGAGACCACCCCGCGGCTGTTCTGATGGCTACTGGGTACCCCATGGTGATCAGCTCTGACGACCCAGCTGTCTTTGGTGCCAAAGGCTTGTCCTATGATTTCTATGAGGCCTTCATGGGCATCGGTGGGATGGCGGCCGATCTGAGGGCACTCAAGCAGCTGGCTATGAACTCCATCAAGTGAGTGACCTGAGCACCTCTTAGATTCCCCCTCCCTCTTCCATCCCACAACTGTGTTTATCTCCCTTAGAGGTTTGGGGCAGAAGTTTTCTGTGAGTTTTCTCCACATAGTCTCTGTTTCATTATTGCTCTTGGATTGGGGAGAAATGTGTTCTGCTAGCCTCTGAGAATCCCTCATTCTTCCTGTCCTGCTTCCCAACCCCTTCCCTGGGTCTGACCTGGGTGTCTCTTCTCCTGCAGGTATAGTGTCCTGTTGGATATTGAGAAAAAGGCTGCCATGAAAATCTGGGAGGAGAAATGGAATGACTTTGTAGCTGATCTGGCCAGGAGGCCAAGCTGAGAAGAGAGCCATGTTTGACCCTCTTCTGCTTTCCTCCCCAGGTTGTCTCCACTTTCCCTCAATCATTCAGGAGTCCACTCCACCGTAGTCTCCACCTCCATTTCCTCATTAAAAAGACCTTGTGAAGTTCATCAATGGCCTCCATAGTGCTTAATGTCTCAGAAACATTTGATCAATTGACTGAACTCATGTTTTTTGAAATATTTTTCTCTCTCAACCTCAGGGACATCAAATCTCTGGGTTTTCTCCTTCTCTGGCCATTGCGCCAGGGTCCCCTTTCCAGAGGTCCCTACTCTGTCTGATCTCTGTGCTGGATTTTCTCAGGACTTACTCTCCTCTCTTCTGTTCTTGTCTTTTTGCTTCTATTCTCCTCTCTTCTCACTCAATACTCTTTTACTGGGCAGTCTCATTCATTCTTTTGCTTTTAAGTACAATTAATTTGCTGATGCTTCCCAAATTTATTTATTCACTGAGATGGTTCACAAGGATCTCAGAAACCTACTACATGCAATTCTGAACTCTCAGCCTCTCCCCTTCCCACCTTCTGGTTTTCCCATCTTGGTAAATGGCATCTCCATCATTCCACCCAGTAGCTCAAGCAGAAATTTTCAGTGGAACCCTTGAAACTGCTCCCCTGCTCTCTACGTGAAAGGTATCTGACCCGTCTGTGCATCTCCAGCTCTACTGTGTTTGCTGAGTTCAAGCCTTTGCCACCTCCTGCTGAACACTGACAACAAGCTTTCTGATTGAGCTCCCCTTTCTTCTCTTCGCTTTTTCCAATTCAGTTTTCACAGGACACTGACTTTTAAAAAATTAAATTAATTCAGGTCGCTCTATTGCTTATAACTCAGTCCACTTAGAAAACTCCAAATGTTTTGGCCCTGGCTGGGTGGCTCAGTTGGTTGGAGCATTCATTATCCTTACACCGAAGGGTAGAGGGTTTGATTACTGGAGGCAACTGATCAACGTTTCTCCCTCATGTCAATGTTTCTCTCTCTCTCTCCCTCTCCTTTCCTCTCTCTCTAAAAGTCAATTAAAAAATAAATGTGAGCCCCGGCCGGTTTGGCTCAGCAGTTAGAGCGTCGGCCTGTAGTCCAGAGAGACCCGGGTTTGGTTCCCGCTAAGGGCACGTACCTTGGTTGCAGTTTGTCTCCAGCCCTGGTTGGTTGTGCGGGTGGAAGCCACTCGATGTGTCCCTTCACGTCGATGTTTCTCTCTCTCTCTCTCTCTCTCTCTCTCTCTCTCTCTCTGCCTCTCTCTCCCTCCCACTCTATCTGAACAAAAAATGGAAAAATGTCCTCAGGTGAGGATAATAATAATAATAATAATAATGAATAAAAATATAAATAAATAAATGTAAGTCAGCTGAGTTGAAACCTATGATGCATCATCCACTAGGAATGGTGAAGGCAATGAATCAGAGACCCTCAGAATTAGGATCTTAAAAGTCATCTTGTTCCATCTGGACGCCAAGTGATTGAGGACCCCTAGTCAGCAATGCTTTCTCTAGTGTCATGAACCAAAAACAGTGACAAACTACAAATGGAGAGAGGTTTGGCTGCTGCCTGAGTGCTCAGACCCAGGTGATGGATGATGGATGAGAAGACCTTCACTTTGAACTCTTAAGGAATTCTTTGATTCTCTGTCACATCTTTAGTCAAGTGAGGACAGGGATGGCCTTCCACAAAGACCAACTAGGAGCCAGAATTTGATCACGTGAGCTCTTCTATTTGGGGAGACTCAGCTCTTGTCTCAGTAACCAGCTCAATACACACAGGCTATGTCCATTTATTCAATATGTCCTTTACCGAGTACTGACTAGATTTGGGGCATGGAGCTGGGCTCTGGGTTACAGTATACATGAAACAATAATTGGTGCCTGCCCCCATGGCACATACAGTCTGGCGAACACAAAAATAAATATAAAGTTACAAACTGTAAGAGTCACAAAGAAAACAAACAAGGTGCCATGAGAGAGAAAAAACAGATTAGGGAATGTGGGGTGTGTGTGTGTGTGTGTGTGTGTGTGTGTGTGTGTGAGTGTGTGTGTGAGTGTGTGTGTGTGTGAGTGTGTGTGTGTGAGTGTGTGTGTGTGTGTGTGTGTGTGTAATCTTTCTGAGATAGTGACATAAAACCTGAAACCTGAAGAGTGAACAGGAGTTAGGCAAAAGTGGAAAAAAAGAACATTCTAGGCAGGGAGAGTGAGAAAAGACCCTGACACAGGATAGAGATTGGGATATTTCAGGAACAAAGGACCAGTGTGGGCAGAGTCTGGTGCAGTAGAGGTGACCAGGGTGGACTGGTGCTGGAAGGGATCCAGATTAAACAGGAGGATCTGTTGAGACATTTGGGGTTTTCTTTTCTTTATTTTATGTTTTTGTTGTTTTTAATCTGGGATCCAGATTAAACAGGAGGATCTGTTGAGACATTTGGGGTTTTCTTATCTTTATTTTATGTTTTGTTGTTTTTGTTGTTATATATGGTTTACTTTCCATCAAGCATTCTCATGTTACTCACATTTATTTATTTATTTATTTATTTATTTATTTATATCCTCACCCAAGGACATTTTTCCATTTTTTGTTCAGCTAGAGTGGAAAGGAAAGAGAGAGAGAGAGAAACATTGACATGAAAGAGACACATCGAGTGGCTGCCACCCACATGACCAACCAGGGTCAGGTACAAACTACAACCGAGGTACGTGCCCTTAGCGGGAACCACAGGCTGACGCTCTGACCGCTGAGCCAAACCGGCCAGGGCTATTATTATTATTTAGTCCTCACCCGAGGACACTTTTCAATTTATCTTCAGATAGAGTGGGAGGGAGGGGGGAGGGAGGAGGGAAGAAAGAGAAAGAGAGAGGGAAAGTAAAATCAATGTGAGAGAGACACACTGAGTGGTTGCCTCCTGCATGACCTGACCAGGGCAGGGGACCAAACCACAACCAAGGTACATGCCCTTGACTGGAATAGAACTCATGACTCTTTGGTCTGCAGGACAATACTCTAACCACTGAAAGAAACCGACATGGGCTATTTATTTTTAAACTTATTTTTGTTGTTGAATGTATTACAGATGTTCCCCCTTTATCCTCTCCTCCCTGCTACCGCCACCCTCCTACCTTCCCCATACTATCTTCTGTATCTATTGGTTATGTATATATGCATATAAGTTCCTTGGTTTATCTCTTTCCTTCCCCCCTCACCCCTTCCCTTTGAGGCTCATCAGTCTAACAACCAATTTGTACTTCTTAATCTTTTCCCCTTTTCCCCCCATTCTGCCAACACCCCTCCCATCTGGCAACCGACATAAAGTTCTCTGTATCTGTGAGTCTGTTTCTGTTCTGCTTATTCATTTTGTTTGTAGATTCAATTGTTGATTGATATATATTTATTGCCATTTTATTGTTCATATTTTTATCTTTTTCTTCAAGAAGGTCCTTCAACATTTCATATAATACTGGTTTGGTGGTGATGAACTCCTTTAGCTTTTTCTTGTCTGGGAAGGTCTTTAAATGTCTATCGATTCTAAATGATAGCTTTGTAGAATAGAGTAATCTTGGTTGTAGGTCTTTGCTTTTCATCACTTTGATTATTTCTTGCCATTCCCTTCTAGCCTGTAAAGTTTCTTTTGAGAAATCAACTGACAGTCTTATAGGAACTCCATTGTAGGTAATAAACTGCTTTTTTCTTGCTGCTTTTAAGATTCTCTCTTTGTCTTTAACAATTTGTTGTTGTTTTTTTTTAATTCTCACCTGAGGATATTTTTAAATTTATCTTCGGAGTGGGAGGGAGAGAGAGAGAAACATTGATTGGTTGCCATCTGCACAAACCCAACCAGGACCGAGGACAAACTGCAACTGAGGTACATGCCCTTAGCCGGAATCAAACCTGGGACTCCCTGGTCCACAGGACAATGCTCTAACCACTGAGCAAACCCAGCCAGGGCAACCGTTTGTATTTTGATGATGATGTGTCTTGGTGTGGGCCTCTTTGGGTTCTTCTTCCTTAGAACTCTCTGTGCTTCCTGGACTTGTATGTCTGTTTCCTTCACCGAGTTAGGGAAGTTTTCTGTCATGATTTTGCCAAATAGGTTTTCAATTTCTTGCTCCCTCTCTTCTCCTTCTGGCACCCCCATGATGCAAATGTTGGTGGTACACTTGAAGTTGTCTCAGAGGCTCTTTACACTATCCTCATTTTTTTGTATTCTTTTTTCTTTTTGCTGTTCTGATTGGGTATTTTTTGCTTCCTTATATTTCAAATTGATTGTTTGCTCCTTGGCTTTACTTACTCTATTATTGATTCCCTGTAAATTATTCTTTATTTCAGTTAGTGCCTCTTTCATTTCTGACTGGTACTTTTCTTTTTTTTTATCCTCACCCGAGGACATTTTTCCATATTTTGTTCAGATGGAGTGGGGAGGGAGAGAGAGAGAAAGAAACATCGATGTGAAAGGGACACATCGAGTGGTTGCCACCCACACGACCCAACCAGGGCCAGGGACAAACTGCAACCGAGGTACGTGCCCTTAGTGAGAACCAAACCCAGGTCTCGCTGGACCGCAGGCCAATGCTCTAACCACTGAGCAAAACCAGCCAGGGCTGACTGGTCCTTCTTTATGCTCTTGAGGCCCTCACTAAATTCCTTGAGCATCCTTATAAACAGTATTTTGAACTCTGCATCTGTTAGGCTGCTTATCTCCATTTCATTTAGTTCTTTTCCTGGAGTTTTGTTCTCTTCTTTCATTTGGGACATTTCTTTCTCTCCTCATTTTGGTTACGCTGAACACCTAAGGGAGTTTTTCATTCAACTGAGAACCCAAGGCTCTTCAAGTAACAGTGACTAATAGCCTTCAGGCAAAAAGCTAGAGGATAACTGAACCATTCCTGGGATATGGAAAGTAAGACTTGACCAGGAAAGTAAGACTTGACAGTGGTGTTTAACGTGGGTCCTCCCTCGCTCATTCAAACCCAGGAGAGGGAGACACAAACAGAAGAACACCAACACCCACAGGAAAAATTTGGCAGGCTCCAAAGCCCACTATGATAGCCAAAATGGTGAAACACAGAAACAAAAGCCAAATGAAAGAACAAGAGACCTCTACTGAAGAT